CATTTCATAAAAGATTCGCGTTTAATTGTTTACTCTTCTGAAGAAAAATGGTTGATATCGGGCCTAATTTTCGACAAAAATCAATAATGCCGGTCCTATCCTGAATACTGTGTCAATGTTAAAACTTTTTCGATATCGAAATTTTGAACACATGATTAGATACAGTTTTCTATTCGAAGAATCCGTTTGAAACTCATTTTTCAAAAAAGTTCATTTTTCATCCAAAAAACTGGTTTTAAACTTTTCAGAAACGGATTCTTAATGTTTTAACCAAAAACATTTTTTAAAACAATTTTCTAAAAATATGGTTTTGTAGAGAATTGAATTCTCTACAAAATGGCGTATTTGTTTTTGAATTTACTTGCAAATTGTACATAGTTGTATACTTTCCGACTTACTGTCCAGTTTTTGAGCTCCTACTTTAATACAGCAACTTGATTTTTGCGCAGATCGATCAAATATACAAAGAACACAGGAAGCTGTGAAAATCAAAACTTTACTATTGTGTTAAGTACCTCAAATATGCTTGACAAAAAAGAGCGTAACGCCGCGACGTTTCTATTTTGCATCTTTCACCCTAGCAAAAAGCGCTAGGAGAAATTTCTTTTACCATCGGATAGCGCGTTAATTACTCTATAAATTTTACTCTAAAAGTTTCCTTTTCACATAATTAATCCCACAGAAAATTAAAGAATTCCCAAGAGCGCTCGAAAAAAAAGTCTTTTTTCGTAACGCCGTGACGCGACACTAAAATCCTTCTCAACGCCCAATGCAACATCCAAAAAACTTCGTTTTCACAGCCTAAGTAGAGTATGATGAACGAACTTTCTAGCTACTTTAGTTTCCGAGATAACCGAAGTTCCGAGTGCGTCAAAAACGTAACGCCGTGACGTTTGGACAAGGTGTCGAACAGCTTTTTATAGACATCGTCGACCATCCGTGAAACTCTCCAATAAATAAAACTTGTTTTACTCTGGTATATTCTATATTATTCGTTTCTCGCCGACGCATTGTATGTCGCTAGTTTATCGGAATGTGTCAAATTAGACAACGTAGCAGCTGTTACAGGATAGAAACTAGCACTTATATCTCACAAAACTAAGTATGAACTCTCAGAAATTCCCAGATCCCCGGTGTATGAAAAAAGAAATATCTATGCACTTCTAATTCAATTAAAATTATGAACTTTCGAAGATTTTGCCGTTCTACGGCACGAGAGTGGCTAACTTTCATAGTACATAGATGGTTTATGTGCCATCCACTTACAACGTGCTTGATTTTAAGACAAACGGAGTATTAAAAAGGAATAAAAAACATTTTTCAAGACTTTCCAGTCAAGGGATAAGTGAATCAGAATGATGAACGCTACTTATTCTTAAAGAAAAGAAAAAAACAAGTATCGATATATTTTCGCACTAAAATGGTACAAACCAATGAGAAAAGATGACAAGTTAGGGACAGATAGTCAAGCTTTCAATTGGAGACCGATTTCTCTGTTTTGATTGACAGATTTTTCTACGAACTGGATTTCAAAACATTGATCAATCAAATTTGTTCTTTCCTTTTTTATATTTGTAACGGCGGCCATTTTTGATGGGAAAAATCGACGGCTAGCGGGAAACAACCATCAATTTTCTTTTTTCTGCTATTATTTGATTAGGTCATCGATAACTGGAGAATCGTTCGCCCACTCAAAACTATGTTTCGATTACTATGTTCGATTACTATGTTTTATTAACTATGTTTCGATGTATTTTACTTAAAATTTACTTTTATACACATTAGCTTTGTGTTTTTGTTATTAGTACAATCATTGCTTGCATGATATTTTTGATAAAAATTTAAGTTAGAACTCAATACAAAATAGATGGATGTCCGGTACGGCCGAGATATAATTATAAAATGTGTTCCGTTAGGCTCTAGAAGCACAGCGTTCAACTGTCTCCAACGGTTTTTTATCACTTTGAGAAGTGTCGTTTTACCCTAGTTTATATCAACAATGAGGCATATAACCAAAGTTTTATTTGTGTCGAAAATAACTGATAAAATTTTAATCTGACGTAGATAGATGCGATATGTATGTTCACTTATATTACAAATTATTATAAAGAGATGAGAGCCAAACGGAGAAAAAAAAGTATGCGACGACTCAAACGTACACGACGACGAATGCGTGAATGATCTGAATAGAACAACAACAGGCAATTAGAAAAAGAACATCATTAATGATTTATGGAATTAGCTCACATCATAATGGCTTGAAAATTAGATTTTGTGGCATTCATTGTTATTTTTGGAGACAAACTGTCTATGGTTATTGTTTTATGGAATATTTTCTGTTTCTTTTGCTGTTCTAACAGCTCAAAGCTACAGAAATGAGATGAAATTAGTTTAGGGCTTTTCTTGTAAATTCCATAACTTTGCAAAGAAAGATCATGTAGAGCTGGGAGACGTCCCATTTTAATCAGAAATTACTTTATTATACTTTTTACGTCAAACGCGATCAGACAGTTGGGGATTATTTCTCGTTAGTCTGAAAGTTCAAAACGCCTCTTATTTGCGGCTGCCAAAGTGCTGCGTTTGTGTATGCATGATCGGAGTCAATTATGCGCTGATGTAACATCACCGCGTAATTGTGGTTGAAAAACTTCTTTATAATTGGTGGGAATTAATCAGTGAGAAAAGAAGTGCGATGAATCATGGTTAGTTCAACTCTGTTGCTATGTACTATTCTCTTTATCTTCAGGATAAAGTGCATTACTGCATTCCAGCCCTACGTCGTCTATAACTGAAGACCCGCCGAAGTTCCAAGTCAGTCGTTGATTTTTTAGCTATGGTAGTGCACAGAACCTGGAACAGATCATCACAGGACCTTAGAAATAGCTGAACTTAGTGCAAAATTGGTTATTCTATCGATGTAGATCGTATTAAAACAACTTTGAGCAGAAAAGAATTTCAGAATGTTTTTGGAGACCTGGTTTTCCAGAAATCCTCTAGAAACCTTGCAGAGATCTCCAAAAGTTTTCTGATTAGAATCTACCATGTTTTCCACCTGAAAATACAAATTTTCATTGAATTTGAGTGAAAATTGAGTGATTTATTGCTAAATGAGCTGCCCGATTCGAAGCAAAATGCACAGGTTCTACCAAAAACGCATTATCTCAGAAACGAAAAAGAACCTGGAGAAAAGAATACGTGAATTTTTCGTGATGTTGTGACAAGTATAATCACGTAAAAATGTTGCTTCAGTCCAAACCTATAAAGACTTTATGTTTTTGTCGCGAACGAAAGAGGAACTTTCCTGCTCTCACGACTTTTAAGTCTCTTTTTTGTTTAGATGCAGATTTAAAACTTTTTTAAGCTTTTCAGATGCAGTTTTTGACGTAGAGAAAGAAAGAAATTCTTTTAAGCTTCCCAAAGATGATTGAGATAGAGATTTTTTATTATTTTCAAAAGTAGGCGGCTTTTTAAAGGTTCGAAATTTTTGACTTTTTTCAAATTTTTCATCTTAAAAGGTTTTTTTTGAAACGTTAAAACACACATATTCGGATGCAACTCGACGAGCTCTATCGAACCATGTATAAAATCGAAAAAAGAAAAAGCGCTAAAATTTCGCCAAAATATCACTCATTTATTGTCAGATCTGGAAAAAGTATTGTTAGTATCAATGCTCTTCTGAGTAATTGTTAGACATCAGCCATGAGTTGTTAACACTTGTCATCATTCTATGCAAGAAACAATGCTATCTATAGTACATGATGGTAATGAAAATACAGATTCATGTATCGTTCACGAGGATTCCATAAAAAACACCTCACCTGTATTAATTATTATGCACTTATTTTTTACTCTGTAGAGCTTAAGAATAGATTCTTTTTATAATACTCTATATAACTTTCCAACGTACAACCGTGTTACTTTTACGCTAGCTTTCTAAATGTAAGTAAAAGGATAGGGACGTGTATGTAGGAAAATGATTCTACAACATCGAATCGATTTTTTTTAGCCATATCAGGAGGTAGCTTAAACCATTTCTTATCACTTAGTTTCCGGGAAAATCTACCATCGCGTTTGTCACTCCTGAGATTCCCTCCAGAATTTCTATTTTCATACATTATCGTTGGACCATCCAAATCTTTGTCCTCAAGCCTGTGGATGTTGTATGGAGATATGACTGCATATAAATATTCAGTTGGTAAAGCAAAAGAAAAGAGAGAATAGATGAAGTACGAAATTGTTGTAAAAGTTATTACTTTATTAAAATTTAACAAAGTATGAATGCAGATGTGGACTAATGATTCAGGCGACTCCCAAGCAACATCACCTATGGGAAAAGTCTAGATACATTTCGTCTGTAAAAGTCTCAGTCGTTTCTTAACATATAAGTCAGAGTGAATAACACATGTAAACTAGTTCATACTATCGTTACAGTAAACTATTCTACTTACTCTGCCCGCACAAAATTCATTTTCACATTCCTGTCGTCAATCAAATATATAAATCATTTGCTCATCGTCTAGTCATCTATGGCTCACTTGTCTAGTCTGGCACCCTACGACATAATCTCTCCTCTCTTGTTAATCTTCAATTTTATAAACATTGGTGAACCCAAATAAATATTATAAATAGTCAGAAATTGCGAAGCATTGTGCTTGGCTGTTCGAGAAGAAACGTAACATAGACAAATGGAAATAACAACAAAGTAAATAACAGCTCTCAAAACAAACAATGAATGTGCCCATATCCTACGATGCTACATTTAATTTGATTAATAGTTATCAAATTAAAAGTATAGTAGTAGCTTTACTATGTATCTTTCCATCTGTCATACTTCTTTTTTTCTAGTGCATTAATATATCGTCATAATAGTGTTTCATAAATGAACATGTCTTATATTAGTATTCATGATCTACAAGTCAAAATGAATGATGTCACGTCTTCGATTTGTAACTAAATTTTAACAGAGAGCGAGAAGTCAATACCTAAATCAGTTTTCTCTCTTATGTACATGTATAGTACATCCAAAATACTTTCAACTGCCCAACACATGTATCATTTAATAAAGCGTTTTCAACTTGAAAGTTACAATTGGATGTTGTACAATTATTTCGCACAGCCACTGATACATCCATAGTTCTACATGAACAGATTGAAGCATTATTTAAACCATAGAATGCTTGTACTACGGTTAATGTTGGTATCGGACTAGAGCATGATTTATTAACATAATAATGTTCTTGACCGAAATATGTATTGTTAAAACCATTACCTGTTTTGTACATAATAACAAAAAATATCTTGGTTAGAAAATTCCAGAATGACAAAAAAAGTCGATCTTCTTTCACCTCGTCGGTGTTTTTTTCCAAAACACAGGTGGGATACGAGTATTCAAAATCAAGATTAATATCTCTTTTGACCTTTAACATTTCGCGGAGCGACGTCAGTTTGTCATTAACAGCACAGTGGATCTGACTAAGAAGTCTAGCGTATTTGGAGGCGCTTCTTAGATACGAGAAGCAGGCACTATATTACCCAAGGTGGTGTAACAACTCGAGCAAAAAGATGCTCCTTAAGACGCGCAGATCACATAAAATGCTGTCGAACAGATTTCATTTTGCGGATTAGCAACAAGTGCACACTTAAAGGCGCCAACACAAGAACAGTGAAAAAAGCAAAAGACGTCATTCTACTGGTATCGATCAGACGAAACGAGACATTATCTACTTTTGTAGACAATGTTTATTTTAGGACTGTGAATTGTTCTAAAGAGCTCTGACTTTGATTAATTCAAACAAACGTTCTTCTACATACCCCATGTGGTGGTATTTGCTGGTGAAATACTGAGACAGGGTGTGTTACCAGTTGGATATGCTGTCGTTGTACTCGCTGTAGTGTTGGCTATGGAATCTAATTATTGAAAAGAAAAATGACTGGAATACCAGAAATCAACAGACACGAATATTTTTCTGTCTCTTTTTCTGAAAGCATTTTACGGTAAATGATTTGAGCGAATGCTACTAAACTGTAAGAACTGACCTTCCAGGCGTGAATTTACAACCTACTCGTGGCTGATTGTTTCAGTGCATACAGTAATGGTACGAGGATACCTATTATAATTAATAGCGCAGCAATAACACTTGCAAAAATGTAATAAAGAGCCTTAGGCGTACAACATCGGCCACCAGCACCACCGTTCTTCAATCGTCTATTGTGAAAGAAAAGCTTTAGATAAGCTGATAGAACAGAGATTGCGCGGTATACTTAATTTACTTTGCCTGGCTTTTTGGTTGATCTCGACGTACACCATCTTTGAACCATGAAGTAACATCGTTTTTGTTAATCGGACGACCCTAAAATACGGAATGAAGAGTGAACAAATGCCTTGTTGTTTTCAAACAAAGAACGGAACTTTTTCGATGCAAATGTGAGCCATCGCTTACCTCAAAGAAATGATAAAAAACGAGCTGCGTTCCGTTGTCGAGCACTAAAGTGGTGACAGACTGAAGATTGATTATCTCAAAAGGATAACTTGCATGAGACTCAATTCGACTGCAATTCTCAGTTTCACACCTAATTTCTGTTGAGTTTTCTTCTTTTTTTATACAAATTTCGGTCAAATTTTCCGCTTCGAAGTTTAGACTTAACTTAGTGGTCCTATTGTCGAGTGATATTCATGCTTAATTATGGCCCTATGTTAGTTTTCTGGTGGTATTCGAATCTATTCATAGCTAAAGATCAGAGGCACATGTATTGCGTCGGGAAAAGTGCACGTGACGAAGAAAAAAACCAAAAATTGTTTTCTTTTCAAAAAGTTGAAGCGTTTATCGTAGACGTTCATTCATCGATACCAGAGCATTTGTTTCTGTGTTGCTCAGCGAAATTACAAGTCTTTTCTAATAAAAGCTAAAGCTAGCTTCTGTCTTACGTATTGATCCACATAACCCTGTAGATATTTCTGTTGATTTACGATAGGTTCAGGAAAAACTTGTGCACGTCCGTGAATCATCTTTTTTTCTTCACGTGCAAAAAAAATTGTGTTGTTGTTGCTTTCAAATCAGCAAGAATGAAAAGTTCGTTAAAAGTATAAATTGTTTGTTATCGTTTGAAAATATCTTTCAGGCATGAATTCATTGAATCAATTAGAAGAGGAAAGAAAATAAAGACATCAAATATTAAAGAGATTTATTTTGTTCTCTTAAAGGGGAAAGTAAAGCACTGTGGTAGAACGGGTCAGTGTACGAAATTTTCTTCGTAATTTCACTATTTCTCATCCATTTTTAACTGAACAAATTCGATATTAACAACGTTGGTAGACACGATACTTATGCACGCAATGCTTCTGTCGATGGGGTAAAAAAAGTCAATCCATTCAAATACATGGCGATTTTTTAACGGTCACATAACTTTCCGCTCAAGGAATTTCCGGCCCGGACCTTCGGCGCGGTCCCAAAGTCCTTCATGCCTTTAGGTCTGGACCCAAATTCCCCCTAGTCTATGTCGAAATAAAGCGTAATAAAGCCTAGTGCTCAGTAGGACGACATATTGCTAAGCACTATGAATTTAGATTACAGTGCAGTTATAGAGTTCTACAAAGAAAAGACAGCCTCGTGTTTATATGCCACGAGCTACGCTATATGCAACAAGACCAAGAGGAGCAGCAGCAGCTAAAAAATCAATAAAATAAAATAAAGATTATGTTATTATATTTAGACAGACATTTCTTTATTCTTTTTCTTATTCTTTTATGTTCTGCAGTTACACTTATTTCTTTTCTGTAGTATTTTGTTTGTTTATTGAATGAAAGAAAAGAAAAGATTACAACAAAAGGAATAAGGTACACACAACAGAAAAGTCAGAAAAGTTCAAAACATTGGCAACATTCATGAAGAGAACATTGATTAGTTAGAAGCTGAGCAGAGGAACATCATTTACTATCCTGCTGAGCACTACGCTTTTTATGTTGGTACTATGTTTAGAGAAGCAATGACTCTCTCATAAGACCATAGCGCTTCTAAAGGGATGAAAGCAGACTGCTGAGAACTACGTTTTAATCTAAATGCGTACAGCTGAGCACTACGCAATGTGCCAATTACTCATAGAAATACGGCTAGGAACCGAAGGTCCTCCTTATTAACGATGAATACTAATAAATTAAAAATTAAATCATTGTGAAGCTCTACTCTTCCTTTATCGAACCATATAATTCTGATCTTCATACCTGTTACCTTCATGAAGCTAATTAGACCACAATAAAACGTGTCATTTTTAAAATTTTTGTATGGGTTAAAAAGGTTCCAATAGAAATATTAAAAAAAGTTGCTTAAAAGATGAAATTTCCTAAATATCTCGGCTATTTTTCATGCTTTTTCTGTTTGATTCTCAGAAATGTATTACATAATAAGAAGTGGTCAGATTATTTAATTCACCTGCTGTTAATTCAAACGACTAGAACATGGTCAAAATCACCTGGAATTTTTGTGTATCATAAAATTTCTCTCTTTTTAGGCATTAAATGCCAGTTTCGCATATCGTAAAGCCGACAGTATTATTAACAACTTTTACATTCATAGTAGTACTAAAATCGGTTTTGGGAAGTCTGTTCAGAGTCTCTTTGAAATCTCCATAGATTTCAACGAATTGACCCCTTTTGCCCCATTAAAATGAACGAGTGGCTCCTTTTTTTAAACTTTAACTCTCATTGTATGTGTGTTCGAGGGTACCGACACAATAGGCATTCGATAGCTTGTTCAAGATTATCACGCAACTGTCGTTGCCGTATATTCGAAGTGCGGTGTCTGCCCACTAGCCGACTGAATCACGCTGCTCAAGCCCGTGGCTCTTTTTACCCCTAATACAAAAATTTTAAAAATGATACGTTTTATTGCGGTCTAATTAGCTTAATGAAGGTAACAGATATGAAGATCAAAATCATATGGTTCAACAGAGGATGAGTAGAGTTTCACAGTAATATAATTTTTAATTAATTAGCATTCATCGTTAATAAGCTACGATGCTTTTAAAAATCTTCAGGTATTTGAATGGATTTACTCTTTTTACCCTATCGACATAAGTGAGCTGACTCTTTTTACACCGTGTGGAGTAAAAGGAGACAATTAAAACCACTCGACTCTTGAATATATCTGGAAAACAACCTTGGATTTTCAACAGGAAAGTTTTGCACTGTATATGCGTGCATCCGTCTCTACGAATGTAGTTAATGTCGAATTTGTTCAGTTAAAAATGGATGAGAAATATTGAAATTACGAAGAAAATTTTGCACACTGGCTCTTTTTACCCCACAGTACTTTACTTTCCCTTTAAAAGAACAAAACAAATCTCTTTAATATTTGATGTCTTTAAAAAAGAAAAAGAAATTTTTCTCGAGGGCTTTTTCGTGAGTATATTTATTTTGAAGTATCATATTCAACCAAACTTTAAAACTTATATACAACAAAAGTTGCAACAAATTATTGTCATAGTTATCCAGTTGACACAAACAGCATATTATTTAGTGAATACGTAGATTAATGTTCATGAATAAAAAAAACAGGCTTTTCCTCGACTTAAACCGGTCATTGTTTCTGCAAGATGTACCCGCGTGCTTCTTGTGCTTGAGACTGTTTCAAGATAACAAAATCGATAGGTAGATTTTCTAGGAGATCTTTGGAAAACTATATCATTACTCAGAAACTGTAAATACAGCTGGCTTGCTTTTTTTATTGATAGATAGTGTGGTCTTCACTCAAAGTGTGTCGTTTCTTTCCACTACTAGACCTTTTTTCATATTTTGCGCATTGTAAAAATAAAATACTGATATTTTCTGGACTTACTATTGCAGTCTTTGAGGGACAAAATCTCTTTTCTTATCTGTTACTTTGTGTCAACTATTATGAACATATTGGATTTATCAGTTCTATATGGGTTTGGCGTTGTTTTATTTATTTTCTATTAGACAAAATGTTAAAAAAATGATGGTTAAAAATTAAAAAAAAGTTCTGATGTTTTTGTCCTGTAACAGAGAGCAACAATGGTAAACGCTCATGAAATTCACGGTCATAGGAATTTAGCTTTCATCAGAAACAATTTGCTTCACTTTAAATGTATTTTAGAAAAAGAAAAGAACAAAAATACGAAAAATTAATCTGAAAGATAGTACAACATGAATATGACAACAATTATATATAACAAAATCGACAGAATAAAAATAAAAAAATAAACACTTTTAGGCATGCTCTTGTTCTACAAAAGAAAGTCTTTTAGGGTGGATTTAATGGCTGTCATTTACACCAATCCAAAACATAAAAATAAAGAAAGGAAAGATAATCCAAAAGCGGACCAAAAAGACAGTTCAAAGATTTTCCGGAATTTATCCATTATAGAAAAACCAAAAAAGAAAATTTATTCCAGGAACAAAAAAAGAAAAATAAGAAAAGACTAACTTTTTTTTATTTGAACTATTTTAAGTGAATAGTAATAATTTAACGCTGGAATAAGCTAAATGAGGAAAACCTAAATAGCAGCTTATTCCGGCTTTTTTAAAAACATACAGAAGTCCTATAAAAAAAAGACAAAAAAGGCAGTCGTATAAAAAGTATTTTAAAAAAGTCAACAATTTTAGCAAGAGAAAGTTCGGTACTTTTGCTGCGCTGCAACAAATTAGATAAAAATTGGGCGCTACGTGCAAAACTTTTCGGTGAATCGGACGGGTTCCTTTTAATTCTATTTTGACTTCTTTTCTGGCGTCGACATAATCTACATGGTTTTTGTCTAAACTTTATTTTCTTGTTGGTTGAAAAAAAGGCGCCAATATGAAAAATAGAATTTACGCAAAAACAACGTAGATTATGTCGACGCCAGAAAAGAAGTCAAATAGGATGCACCGAAAATTGTTTGCATCTAGCGCCCAATTTTTATCTAATTTGGTGCAGCGCGACTAAAGTACCTAATTTTCTAATACATAGACGAGAATGTCCATGGTGCTGATGGTGAGAGCGATGTTTGTAAATTTTTTCTTTGGGGTGTTTATCCAAATAACTTTATGAATAATAAAAATAGATGAGAAAATCTGAAGTAAACAATAGTAATATTTACCAGTGCAATCGACAATATTTTTGTCGATTGCGCTGATAAGTATGCCATTTGAATTAACATAACCGTTGAGTTTTGATCAGGAATCAGGCCTCGATTTGTAATAACGCGGGAAATTGTTGTTCTGGTTCAGTATCAATTGAATAAACATTTATTGTTGATGCCGTCTGTATAAGTTGATCTAATAAATCAATTGTTGTACAATCATTAATAAAATGTAATACATATACTGAAATTTTGAAACATCAAGTGCCTCAGATTGTCGACGTAGTTGTTTATTTTGGGACGCTTTTCTTGTTGTCGCTCTACAATGATTTCGTAGATTGGAGGTCAAATATAAAAATCAGCCCACTCTCTTTTACGAGTAATAATGGTTTCGTATCAAGGAAAAATATACCAGTTTGCGCTTCTAGCTGATGTCGAATACATTTGTTCACTAAAATCCAGTCAATTTCTCGACAATACCATCTCAATTGACACCCTCAAAACAAGACCCACTTGATGAGTAAATGCTGCTTGTCTCAACTTTCTTAGATTTAAAAAGACTAACTAAATATACAAATGGATAGCCCGAGAAATTCTCTACTAACTGAGCCAGTTAGTATATTTTGACCGGTGGCGCCAGTCATCAGAGGCATGCAAAAGCAGCGTTCAAGTAGCGAAAACACATGTGGAACACTCCTTTAGTCGTTTCTTGTGTCACAATGAAAAATTATATATTTTTCAAAAATATACCATGGGATGGATAGCTCTTGAAATTCTCTACAAAATGAGCTAGTTAGAGTATCTTGACTGGTGGGGTGCTGTTATGACTTTTGAGATGAATCACTTGTTCAATATTAAATTCTTGTAACAGGATGGATAAACGATCAAGTCATTTATTTTTAATAGCTTTTGTAGTCACCTTGCAAATTGGACAATGATCTGTATAAAGCATAACTGATCTTCTTAACAAATAGGGTCGCATTCTGTGAACCGACATCCAGATAGCTAATGCTTCTTTTTCGATAGTATTGTAATTCTTCTAAGCTGTTGTAGTTAATTGTGAATGATAATATAAATGTCGCATTTGTCCATTAATCTCCTGTTCAGAACGCCGCGTAAACCAACACCAGATGTATCTGTGGATAAGATCATTCATTCAGAATCAACTGAAAATGCAAGAAATAAAGTTCTGATACTGATAACTGGTTTAATGCATGAAATGCATCTGATTGTTCTTTCTTCCAACGAAATTTGTGATGACTGACTTTTGTTATGTTGGTAACTGTATGGACAGGATCTGCAACTGTACAGACTTTTAAGTATGAACTTTTTGTATCAAGCACTACGACCAATAAACTTGTTGGCTTGTTTTAGTTAAGTTAGTGTG